ACTCGAAAAATGCAAGTGCACAAAACGTTGAAAAATGACAATTTTGTAATGTACTTTGTGGTAATTGACTAATTTCGTAGTGACTCATCAATTCAAGCCAAGTTTTCTTTTGGTAATACAAAATTACGATATCTATTAGCAGTAAAAATTTCAAGTCAAGTGCATATTTACTTCATGAAATGTACATGTCACAAAAAATGTACTTTTTTGGCGAGGATGCCCCAGAAAAATTTAAATATCTTGAGAACGGAACAATAATTTTTCAAACGACTTGCGTCAAAATTTTTAGAATTCATACGTCTACAATATGTATAAAATTGAGCAAAATCTGATGACCTCGATTGAGCACCTTCTATGGTAGCCGGTCGTGGCTTATGCGGACTTGCTCTTATATAAAATTAATCTTTTCATTTTTTTTCAGGTATAAATTCTACGATTTATATGGTAAATCATTAACTACACGCGATATCAAAGATAATCAATTACAGATTATACTTCCTACTGCTTCAAGTCTAGCATCAATTGATGAAGCAAATCCTACCGATCGATCCAATTCTCCTATTGCATCCGGTAGTAAGAAGCAACAGCAGCATAAAGGACAATCAAGAGAAGTTAAACAAACTAAAGCTCAACGGATTATTGAACAAAATAACCAACGTATGATGAATAAACGTCTTTCTGAGGAAACTGATAAGATGAGAAATGTTGAAGATCAATTAACTAAAATTCCATCTGATAATCATTCAGATGCTATTGATCTGATTGACGAACGTTTAGTGAATTTTGAAACATCCACAATACGTCTTGAATTACTAAAACGAAAATTTGATTTACAACGAAAATATTTACGAACATTGAAAAAGAAACAAAACTTAACTATAGAAGAAAGATCGACATTAGAACTTCTTCAAATAGGCTTTTTTGCTACAATGACTGAAATAGCACATCTTGAAAATGTCGTTGATGCATTCAGCGAAAAAATGGAATTCATGGAAGAACTTGTTGATGATTCACCATTAGATAGGGAAAAATGGTATCGATTTCAGCTAGAAAAGATCAATAGTCGATTACCTCGACGGGAACAAGGTATTCGTGATAATCGACTACCAGATTTTATTCCCGATATATGGCAAGTTGAATTTCTTGATGCTGTTGATAAACGACAATCAATTATTATTGTTGCACCCACTGCTTCAGGTTAATTTTCTATCTTTCTTTTTCTCTCTCGCTTATCTTCGAATTTATTTTTACTATTTAGGTAAAACTTATGCATCATATTATGCTATCGGTACAGTATTAAAAGATAAAAATGATCCAAATGGTGTTTGTGTCTATGTAGCACCAACTAAAGCATTGATTAATCAAGTTGCAGGTAACTAAATCTATGCGTATAATGTTGAGTAGAGCGGGTGGCTCAAATTAGAACAGACTTTTCACACCTTCATCTTTTCACTCTAATATCTCGGTCAAACAGTGAGCAAATGTGCTCAAATTTAATGACTGAGTAGATCAATGTCTTGCCTAGGGGTGCACCAAATCCTGTTTTTCTTCAAAAAGATTGTAAATTTTCGATATGAAAAACCCTCCAAATCCCACCAAATCTTTGAGTCAATTATATGCAGTTTTATTCGC